CACTTAGATAATAAATTTGCACTGTATGTTAAATAAAAAGGAAGTCAGGCGGTAGTCCTCCCGAAATCCCAATAAAATAACTGAAGACCGATCGGGTGTCTGAAGCGACGCCTCTAAAGGTAAAAATAAATTAACATGCCGCAGTCGGGCGTCAGGGCGACACCACATAAAGGGTTTATATTGAAACGTAAACGACAGTACGTGCCACAGTCGAACGTCTAAGCGACATCTCGAAAAGGGCTTATAACGAAAGTAAATAACAAGGATGCCGCAGTCGGACGTCTGAGCGACATCAAATAAAGGGCTTATATCAAAAGTAATAACAAGAATGCCACAGTCGGACGTCTGAGCGACATCACATAAAGGGCCTATATCAAAAGTAAATAACAAGAATGCCACAGTCGGACGTCTGAGCGACATCACAAAAAGGGCTTATATCAAAAGTAAATAACAAGAATGCCACAGTCAGACGTCTGAGCGACATCACATAAAGATCTTATATCTCATCATTCAATTTCAAGTAGCTCATGAAGGTAACATCATTCCACGGAATGCTCGGTACATGATAATAAATTGGTTAGTCCATCCACAGGAATAACATTCAGTCGGGTTTACCACTCTCAACTTCATGCTTATTCTTCGGAGACTATCACTGAGACTGACACTGAGACTGATACTGAGATTGACACTAATATGTTGATCAAAGTCCTTAACCATGGACATGGTTACTCGAATGGTTTTGACTCTGCAGAGTTTGTACTCTTTAACCACAGCCAACGGATTTCAGTGGTCACAAAGGACTAGTTCCGTTTACGGTATTTTAGGAGAAACACATCTAACCAGCACACACCCATTCCACATTTCGCTGCCAGGAATCACCCTAGGCAAAGTTCAAGAAATACTCTAAGACAGGGAGGCTACAACCTCGAATAGCATGGGATCAAATTTATATCGCGTGCTCTAAGGCGTGCCCCCCTCTCGGTCCCAACCGGAAACACCCATGCCCCTGATCGGATGACGGGCTTTAATCCAGGGCCATGGAACCGTCATCACGGCCCCTCTATTTGGTGTGTACAATGAAAGAGGTTTGCAACTGACTAAACCGCATGCTTTGCAGAAGACATGTGGCGGCACGAAAAAGGGACGAACGGGAACAAGACTTGGTCCACATTAATACTGGAGTTAAACAGTTGGCATAAAACTGGCATGCTTCAACAATACCAGCTTGCAACCTGTCATGCCACCACATGATCAGGTTATCTTACCATCATATGAACACATCAAATTTCAAGCTCACTTGCAGCTTGCTTTGCATGAAATATAACATTCACAAATGCTTATATAAACATGTCATGAGAAAACCACTCAAGCAATCATGAAAAACACTCATCATATCGAAGGTTCAAACATGCTTGCCTGGTTCGGAGTAGTCAGAGTCTAGCTCGGTGAAGTTTGCGGCTCCGTCACCTTCTTCGATATCTACGTTATAAAAGAAATCGGATACTAACGTAAATACCGTGCGCGCATAAAAATTGTTCCAAATATTTTTCAAATAAATATGATAAAAAACTAGATAGAAAAATAAAGATGACAGAAAAAGAATCAGCTCAAAATCATCTTTTGTTTAAAAGTTATAAAGGTTTTAGTCCAGGGACTAATCTGTGATGAAACAGAAACTTTCCAGGGGCTAGTTTAAAAAAAACAGAAAACGTTTCGGTTAGAAAACATAGTTTGCCCGAAGGCGCTTTCAAAAAACGTTTCGAACAAAAGAGGAGAGGCTGACGAGGGGGTCCCGCATGTCAGGTTTAAAATCTCACCATCGACCGAAGCAAACTATGATCGCTAGTGACGATCGACGGCGATCCAGAGGAGGGCAAGGGTATGGTTGCACTCACGGGACAATTCCGCGTCGGTGGGTGGTGTACTTGGTCGTCGGCGAGCACCACGTCGACGGCGGCTTCCACTCCGGCAGACGGTGGTTCAGTCGAGGATGGATCCCTCCGAAGAGAGCTGCAAACGCCAAATTGAAGCGCGGGTCAGGCAAGCGGGTGCACTAGGCTGCTACTGGCACAGTTTGGGGAGCGGGGGTGCACTCACTAGAGAGAATCTTGCCGGAGCCCGAAGCGGATCGGGGCGGCCGGAGTCGGGGAAGAAGGCCTCCTCGAGGTCCTCCTAGCGGCTGGGCGCGGTTCTGGTGAGGTGGAGGAGTGGTGTTGGGTCGAAGGCGAGCTCGGGGCCTCCATTTATAGCCGGCCCGAGGCGGTTGCCGAGAACGGGATTTCTCCGGCGAGTAATTACGGCGAGGTGGTGGTCGGGCTGACGGCTTAGGTGACTGGGCAGCTGCGGATTGGTCCACTGGCTCCATTCAACAGCTAAGGTTGATCGTGTTTGGCTCGCTCCCGTGGCTTCGACGGAACGGAGCTCACGTGCTCGTCGGCGGCAGAGAGCGCGCTCTGCGCCTCTCAGGCCACAACGACGGTTCTGCAGCGCGCACAGAGAAGGGGACGGCCACGCGGAGGCTCCTGGTGGTGTGGGCGGTGCTGGACGGCGCCGTACTGCAGGGCTGGCCCCTGCTAGCCGTCACGGGCGGTTCTGCCACCGCGGGAGGCGCCGGAGTTGAGGTGACACGTCGCCACCGATGCTCGCAACCGGCCAAACAACCGTGTGGCGCACTGGATAAGAAGGGGGAGCAGTGAGCATGGCGCCAACGCATGCACTGGCGAGATCGACGCCGCGGTTCTGAAGAAAACGACACTCACCCTGAAACTGAAACACTGAATTTCTGAAACTTGAGAGGAACAGTGCCGGCCACCTGTTCGATGAAATGATTTGAGCATGTGGAAATTTTTTCTTGAGCTGAACCTTGGTGAGGTGATCTCTTGATGCATCTGGAGACTGTCTGAATTATCTCAGAATTTTTGAAAAGGAAAAAGAATGAAATTCACCAAAAATGGCAAATCTGGTCCAAACTTGCAGCAAGCAAATTTTGAAAATTTTGAACTGTGGACCAGCAGATCTTGATGGATCTAGGTTGAGGACACTAAGGACTAGCCAGAGGAATTTATTTGGAACCAAAACTCAAAAGGAAATCTAGTAGTTCCTTTGTAAATCATTAAGGTCCAAATAAATGGCAGAAAAAGATTTTGAGGTTAAAACAAATAGAAATAAAAATCCAGGAGAGTTTGAACCTTGCTGGACTTGATGCTTGACTTGACCCAAAGTAGGGAGGTAGGTTTTTGGAAGAAAGTTTTCAACATAGGTCATGGCAAGAGAGAAATTTTTGAATGTGGAAGAATAAATCCATAAATTTTAGGAATCCTTTTTAATAAAAAGGAATTGTAAAAACCTTCCAAAAATTATTTGTGTTGTGCCAACACAAGCTGAAAAATCTTCAATACCAAAATCAAGGTTGGGAAGAACCCATAAAAAATACTTGTCATAAAAGTTTTTTTTTTAGAAGGAGAGTCTTAAAAAAAATTTAAATAACCTCCTTCCAATTAATTAAAGAATTTGATAAAAACCAAATCAAAATTTTTGGAGTGTTACATACTGTTATGTGTATCTTCTGAAAACTAAAGATGAGGCTTAATATGTCTCATACATATTTATATTTTTTGATTATTTCATGCTATTATATTACCACTTTTGGAAACTTTTTATAGAAATTTGTATTATTTTTCCAGACTAACATATGGGGTGGCCGTCTGGAGAACAATAACTCTTACACAAAAGAACAAAAACTAATTGAAGTTTAGAAGAAAAAAGCGACAGAAGACAAGAGTTGTTCTGACCATTTGGAGCTTTATGACGGTTGTCAGATCTGGAGTGTGTAATGGTGTAACGACAAAGAAGCCAAAAATCATTATGGTGGCTCCTATTTAGCTTAGTATTGCTGGTTCTTTAATTACATAAACTTATATGACAAAACTGAGTGAAGGAAGGTGCACCTGTTACTTTTGTCCGGTTTATCTTCCGGGGTCTCCCGTCTGATTCAAAATGCTCAACACCGCATCCTCACCTTCTTGTCACGAAGGTCCTAATCACATTGATAAAAATGTGCAAGAAAACCATCAAGTCCCGCACACCTTTTGTTGAGAACATGAGAGGGAGGGGGGAAAGTCCTAAACTTGGCACAGATGATTGCATTTTTTAATGTATTTCAGTCTATCTGGCACTATCCATTCAGTGGTATCACGTCCCCATCGACTACGAGATATCTATAGCGACTTCGTCAATTTCAAGATCTACCGACTAGGCCATTCGAAAGTGTTTCTGGAAAAGAAAAAAGTCCAAGGAATGGTTCCACTTTTTTTTTTTTGAAACTGGAACGGTTCCACTATGTGCCGAAAAAAGAGGGAGATGGAGGAACGGAGTGAGGCCGAAGCCCATGGTTATTCACTCGGGTCCAGATCGGTGGACCCAGCCCACCCACCCATCATCGATCGCCTTTCCTCCTCTTCCGTGCGTCGTGTCGTGTCGCGGGACGCGCAGGGGAAAAGAGAGCTCTGTAACCTGTACCTACATCCGCCATTCGATTTCCTTGCTCCTATCCATCCACCACCACCAGAAGACACCCGAGGCTCGGCTCGCCCCTCCGCCTCCGCCTCCGCCTCCGTCGCCGTCGTCGCCGCCCGATCCAACCGCCCGCCCGCCAGCCCCCGCGCACGGTAAGCACCGCCGCTCCCCTCCCACTCGATTCCATCCCCTTCCTTGGATCGATTGCTTGCGTTGCGTACCTCGCCCTGCTCAAATCGATCGATCCCTGATCGCCCCTGTCGATTGGGGCGAGCGAGCACGAGCCCCGTGAGCTGGAAAGAAGTAGGTGCCCGGTGATTCCCATCGCTCAGCCGGCGGTTGGTTCCCCGCGAGCCTCTACCAGACCGCATCCGCTCACCCAATCCGGCGCATCATTTTCCGTTGCCAATCGTCGTAGCTGACACGCCTCGCGCTCCATGTGTGCCGTGCAGGGCCAGGGAGCCACCTGCGAAGACATAATCGCCATGAGCTCGCTCTGCCCGTTCGCGAAAGCCACCACGGGCGGCGTGTGCCCCATGAAATCCGACAAGAAGCCCGACAAGAGCGGCGGCGCTGCGTGCCCCGTGACGGGCAAGAGCCATGGCAGCGAGAACAAGGAGAGCGGCGCCGACCGAGCCACCGGAGAAGAGGGCGCGGAGGACCCTCGCGTGGTGCCTGCAAAGTGCCCCTTCGGCTACGACTCCAACACCTTCAAGCTCGGCCCCCTCAGCTGCATGGTCTGCCAGGCCCTGCTCCACGACGCCAGCAAATGCCTGCCGTGCTCGCATAAGTTCTGCAAGTGCGTGCGTTTCTCATGGGTTTTGCATCTGGATCAGACATTTTTCCTTGATTGCTTGTGTCCTGACTGGAATGGATGATGAAAATTTGCAGGGCGTGCATATCACGCTTTAAGGACTGCCCGTTGTGCGGTGCTGACATAGAGGGGATCGAGCCAGATGCCGAGCTCCAGGCCCTCGTCGATCGCTTCATTGATGGCCATGCCCGAATCAAGAGATCGCTTGCTGGAGGGGACGACCAAGCAGCGGGTGGCAAGAGCAAAGTGATATACGAGGATGTTTCCATGGAGAGAGGTGCTTTTCTAGTGCAACAAGCCATGAGGGTCAGTAAACAAATCAATTCCAATTTTGAGCTCTTTAACCTGTGAAAAATTGCATGGTTATCCAGTTTGTATGTACTAATTTATCGATGACCTTGGTGCTATAGTGATGCCTCTAACTTCTTTGTCTCCAGGCTTTTCGCGCACAGAACATTGAAAGTGCAAAGTCGAGGCTCAGTATGTGTGCAGAAGACATCAGGGAGGAGTTGAAATCTTCAGAAGATAACCTAGACCTGTGTTCTCAGCTTGGGGCAGTGTTGGGAATGCTCGGGGATTGCTGGTATGACCTTGTTTCTTGACTACTTCCCCTTCCTAGTGTTTTCACCATGGCAACCTATGAAATGAACCGCCGGGAGAAAACTGGGGTTAGGTAAAAAAGAATCTGTGCCGCTAGAACTTTTTCTACTAAATAGCTGCTAGGTTGTAGTGTGCCTTGGATCTCCTGAGAATAAAGAAAATAATGGTTCAACACTTTGTGTCTGCTCTGCATAACCCATTCTAGTCTAAGTCAGCAAATCTGCAATAATTCCCTGTGGATATTCTTGCTTGATAGTTTAGCTGTATATTCCAGTCTGGTTTCTTGTTTGTGTAACCTCTTTATTAGAATGAGGTCCATTTGTTTGCTTGAGTCAGTACTTTTACACAATGAATCTCTGTAATTCATTAAAAATGTTCTTCCCATTATTATATGGTTTCAACTCTTAGGCATGATTTATTGAACTGGATCTGTTATATTGGACAGACAGATGAATGACAGTGTAGTTTGCCTTATATCATTTTACAATCTGGCAACTGGTGGGTATAGGCCACTGATCTAGCAACTTCTCATTCTGAAAACAGTCCTTAGTGTCTTATTCATGTATCCTAGTACCTGCATGTTCTGAGCCTTGGAAAGTGAAATATGGGAAATCTCATCATAGCTAAGTTCATTTCTCTTAATTTAAGTATTGGACAATGATGTGCTCATATGTTTACTTTTTAATGACACATCACATATCAGTAATTTTGCAATGCTCAATGCCACTAATGAAAAAAATTCTGTTATTATTGCGCTTCAAATTTTCTCCGTCAGATTTAGCTAATCAATGTTATTTCATACTTCCTTCATTCTACTCATTACACATTATAACAGCGAGACACGGTGACCTTATTTGCTTATTTAGTTGATAAGCAAACTCATTGCTCACTGGTTTCTCCCTGGTCCTCATCATGGGACTCTGTTTTTCAGTCGGACCTTGGGAGATGCGCCTTCAGCGATCACTTACTATGAAGAAAGTGCCGAGCTTCTGTCGAAATTGCCCAAAAAGGATCTTGAGGTTGTATTCTAATTTAGTGCCATACAGTCTTAACAGTAAAATTTCTTGTCGACTGAGCTTTTGGTTTCTTCTACAGTTGGTCCATACGCTCTCAGTTTCTCTTAACAAAGTTGGAGACCTTCGCTACTATGGCGGGGACCTGCAATCTGCAAGAAGTTATTATGCCCGTTCATTAGATGTTCGCAGAAATTCAGTAAAGGAACATTCAGCTGTGGCCTCCCAGGTGATTGCGATGCTCACATGTTGATGTTGTAATGTACTCCCTCTGTAAAGAAATATAAGAGCGTTTAGATCACTACTTTAGTGATCTATAAACGCTCTTACATTTCTTTACGGAGGGAGTAATTCATTAAAAATTCAAGATTAAGCATCAACACAAACAAGAAACAACATACATAGTTGTCTTAACTAAGAAATGTCCTTGGTTGTCCTTTTTTGTCCAGTTTCTTTTGGCCAGTGCTGGACTTTGTTTGTTGGCTTCCTAAAAGAAACAGTCTTGTATGATGTCTTAGGATTACAATGGAATCAAGTGCTAGGCCATAATAGATCTGTAGGAAATTAAATGCTGCAACTTTGGTTGTGTTGTTTACTATAATAGCTAGAGTAGTTTTCTTTGTTTTGTGAAGGCATGATAACTTGAAAACTGCCACCTGTTATCTGAAGTCTTTTTTGTGATTCTTTCCGTTCCACGCACAAAGATACAGGGTTCATTTATAGTATGAAAATATGTGATAATGGATGTGAAGGACATAGTAGAGCTATAGGAAATTAAGTGATGTAACCTTGGTTGCGTTGTTTACCATAACAGCAAAAAAATTCTTTTTGTGTTTTGCGAAGGCATAATAACTTGAAAACTGCCACCTGTTATCTGAAGTATTTTTTGTGATTCTTCGCGTTCCACGCACAAAGATACAGGTTTCATTTATAGTATGAAAATATGTGATAATGGATGTGAAGGGAAAGGAAAGAAATAAGATTAATAGGTTCAGGAAGTTGGCAAAATAAAACTTTATATGCTTCTTATGCAAGCTCCTGTTTTGATTGCATAGTGGTGAAAACATTTTTAATTTCCTAAGGCATTATTCTTGAATCTGTGACTTAAACCAATCATCTTTATTCTAAATGGATGAAGAATATGCTTCAATACAAGTGTTAGTCAAGTTTGTCCTTGGTACCCACTTCATAGGATCCTAATGTGTCTTATTTTTTAGTGGACAAACTGAAGTGTGAAAAATGTCAATTAGAAATTACCTTGTTTGTTTGATTTCAGTACTTTTACGGAATGAATCTCCGTGATTGATTGAGAATGCTCTTTAGAAATAACATGGTCTGAACAAGTAGGAGTACTTTGATTCAGTACTTTTACGGAATTAAAGTACTTTGATTCAGTACTAATACCGAATACCCTTATTTATTAACCCAGACTTTTACTTTTTCCACTCGGAAGTTGCAAATTGTTACATCGAATTATGGACTATGCTGCATGGTGCTGTTTGCTTTAGCTGCTATTACCTGACAATCTGACGGTTGTTCGTTGTAGGTCATTGATCTAGCAACCTCTCTAGCCAAAGTCGCGGATGTCGATAGAAACCTCGGTAACGAAGATGCGGCTGTTGAGGGTTTTGAGGAAGCAATCAAGTGCCTTGAGAAGTTGAAGCTAGATTCTGAGCAGGCTAGTCTAGAACAACGGGTAGCTACAATTTTTACCCATTCATCTTTGATTCTTGGCACATGTTGTTCCGGCCTAACTTTCTGTCTGTAAATTTTTCAGCGTCGCTCGGTTCTCGACTTCCTGCAGAAGCAATTGCACGACAAGTAAGACAGATGGTCCCTAGTGTGTAGTACCCATAACGCCGTTGTTGTGTTGCAATATGGAAGGAGTTGTTGTGGTGCATAAGGGAGGAGGGAGGTGCTCTAGTAACGGTGCCCTGTGTGTAATTCCAACCACTTGAATTCTGTCGCGGCACAAACAAATGTAAACAAGGCCGCGTTGTACGTATTCTAGGAGAGTTCTCTTCACTGTCGCCAATATATGCTCCAGGCTCTAGCTAGCTCCCTGTGGTCTTCTCTCAGCTTGAAACAACAGGGGGTAAGGTGAAACTTGTCTGAAGCTCCCTGTTGCATGTTGAATCCGACCGATCCCGTTGTATATTAACAATAACACACACAAAACTGGTAGAATCTGGCCATTTCGCTTGAATTTTCTGTCAAGCTGTCTGCATAATATTATTATCATGGTCATAATCAGGAATCTCTAAAGTAAAGTCAGCAAGAAGGAAAAATTTCTCAGGTCTTGAATTCGTATCTTGTGACGAACGGGTCTTTAATTGACAAGACACTAGCTAGCCAGGTCTTGCTTGGCAAGGATGCACGGGCACTCGTGGGGAATAAAAAGTAGGAAAACGTGCTATGCTCTGGCCATTTCGTTTGAGTTTTCTGTGAGTTGTTTGCATAATATTAGGACTAGTAGCATTGTTTATAGTTATAATCAGGAAGAGAATCTCTAAACTGAAGCCAGCAAGAAACTGAGTGTTGAGGGTGTTCATATCGTCTGACAAACGGGTCTTCGCTTGACAGTTGGGCGGGCGCTCTGGGGATTAAAAAGTATGATATTGAAATGGTTAATCTTCTTTTTGGAGACCTCTGACCTGCAGCAGCAGCAGCAGCAGGTTGTACTATTTATGCATGTATATGTGCATGTGTATTGACTGTGTATGCGCCAGTAGTTCTCGTGTTGATCTGACCGAACTAATGCATCTCCAGAACAAAGTGCTTAATTAGCGTTGTATTAGACTGAAGAACAGTCGAATTTTGACAGCACTACTGCAGCTTCGAATCGAGTCGCCCCCTTTGTGCTTGAGGAGATTGGATTGGATAGATCGACCGGTCGGGTCAAAAGTGGAAAAGGTATATGTTCATGCACTGAACAGTGCTAGTCACTTTAGGAAAACTCCTCCTTGGCTGGCCGGTTTTACTTCTGTCTTTCTGATTGGCAGCGGGGTAGCTTAGCTAGCACGTGCTGTTGCTTATGTTCCTCCTTTAGCCCGTCAGCTGTAATCAACCCCCTGGACACGATTGGTTTTCACGCGGAAAATTAAAGAGTCATGTTAATCATATGGATATGATTGGCTGGTCGAGTCATCAAAACGCATATGTTTATTGGCAGGCTGCAGCTAGCGATCAGGACTGGAGAGGCCGCTAGTAGTCAAGAGCAAACGATACCACAAAATCCAAGCTCACTAGCTAACTCGATCGTCTGCTCTGGAATTTCCACTCCATGAAAGCGGGAGGAAGGTACCAGATGTGGCATATACTATGCATGCGTCTAGCTACTTCATTTACTTTTCTGCGTCGACCGTGTGCGTGTGCATGCGCTCTCTCTTTGTTTTCTTGATTTAGATCATATACAGCCGCCCCCTCTATTTCCCCCCTAAACGTCCGCAACGCCGGTCCGTAGTGCCCGATCAAAAAAAGTTGACCCAACCAGACCCCTCATGTTGTATGTAAACATCATGACTGTCTGACACCCCTCTAATCGGGACCAAATGTAAGGACAATACAAGGATGGCGACCGAACGCGACCGGGCACCCCGCTCCTGGTCATAGTGGTCCCATATGCAGCCACCCGAAGCTCCTTCCTCTCTCATCTCTGCACCGTGGGAAGGATGCAACGGCGTGGCGAGCTGTCCGTGCGTGCTACTACTCTAACGCACGCGTCGGAGAGGAGCTTGCGTCTACGTGGAGACGAGCTCGCTCGAGCTGGTCGTGTCACTCCTCGCTCGGCGAGGTGAGACAAGTAGGCTCTATCAAGGCTGACACACCTAAATTTTAGTCCCACCTCGCCGCGCAATGCGGACGCCGACCAACTTAAATAGCCGCGCCGGCAGATGGGGGTAAGCTTCTCTCTTATTGCATTAGGGTGATCAATTCTCGCTGTGTGAACGAGGTAGCTTGATACTAGATGCATTTCATCGACTGATGATTATTCATCGAGTGTCAAGTTCATCTCTTTCATATACGTTGATATCCATACTACAATAAAATGGATTTTTAAATTGTTCACCAAAATTTGTTTTGCCCTGCACTTAGCTTTGTATCGTTGAATTTGTGTTGTATGATCGTCGTGCATGGATTTGGGCAGCAAGATTTGTGGATTGTGATTGTGAAGAGAGCCGAATGGGGATATGACCAATCAGTATCTGCAGATGCGACCGAGCGCGTCCGCGGACATTTGTATGGCCGGATTTGCCAAGTCCGACTGTAGATGAGATCGATGCTCTTAGATCTCAAAAATATAATAATCGTTTGGATGTCATGTACTCCCTCTGTTCAAAAACTATTTGGTTATAAGAGGTTGGTGGTATCTCCAACCCATCAGCGATCAAACCTTACCTTTCATATTTTTGTGTCTTGTTAATACAAATTATTCTTTCAGTGGAACGATGACATTTAAATCCAATCGGCCCTTCCTGCGTGTGCCTCGCGTGCAACACGGACACCCCCGTCTCGTCCTCTCATCGCCTCAATCTGCCGCTCCGGTAGTACATTCTACACTGTAGTATTCCCTTCATTTCCTTTTACTCTCGGTATAAGGGATCAATTAACACGTACAAAAAAAGGCTAGCCGCCGCCTCCTCCTTCCTCCACAAAAAAGTTAGGGTTTCTGCCTCCCGCCGTTGCCGCCGCAGGTCCGCCTCCTCTCCGGTGGCCCTAGGGCCATGGGGGTGCGGTGGATCTCGGCAAGGGCCGGTGGCAGGGCTCTGTTTTTAGTCTTTTTTTCAGTTTTGCTAGGGTTTGTGTCCTGCTCAGGAAGACGAGACGGCGGCGGCTCCCTGAAGATGGAATAAAGGTCTCCCCACCTAGTCCCTGTTCCGGCGGCGCGTCTAGCACCGTTGGTGGGCGTGTGGAGGTGTGTCTCCGGTGGATCTATCTTTGGTGGATTTGTTCGGATCTCGTCGTTGTTCGTCTACTTTCGTGTGTCTTCGGATTGAATCTTTCTGATCTATGTTATTCTTCATCTGTGGCGGTTGCTGTTCTGGTGCGCTGGTCCTACGGGGCCTTAGCATGACGACTTCCCGACTGTCTACTACAACAAGTTGTGCCCGACTCCGGCGATGGAGGGGCGATGACGGCGGCGCGCCTTCGGCTCGCTTCAGTGCTGGTAGTCGTCGCTAGGTGGTCTATGGATCTGGATGTAATTTTTATTATTTCTGGTATTCGTTGTACTGCCATGATTGAAGATGAATAGATCGGAAATTTTCTCGCAAAAAAAAAAGAACGATGACATTTAAAAAAAAGTTTCATCTTTGTCCAAAGTCAATTTTCTTTATTTTTTAAAAATTAAAGCATGGGTTTCTTTAGGAGGAACTCTGATGAGTGGCTGATGGAATGGTCGTTCCAGGTACAGAGATTGCCAGGAGTATCGCTACACCATTTCATTTTATTTTTCCTTTGGCTCCTCCCGCATAATAAACTTATGAACACAGATATTCCCTAAAAATACTTATGACTATTGATAACCTTAGGAAAGAATAGACCATAACACCTACAAACTATGCCTTTTGTGCAGAAAAAGAATATATCCATCATTTGTTTTAGCAGTGTGGTTGTCTGCAACCTTTGGCATGTTATTTCTATTTATTTTTTAGAGTTCAGATTTGACATTACTATGAATCCATTGCCAAATTTTGGATGTCCAACAAAAAGAACTCCGTGCTCAATACCATTTGTGGCGCCGCAGTTTTGGGCATTTGGAAGTTTAGAAATTCTATAATATTCTATGACATTTCTTGGTTAAACATCAAATAGGTCTGGTGAATGATTTTGAAGATGATCAATTCTTTGGTTGGAACATGCGAAAGAGAGGGTGCACTCTTTTTCCTATGCATAATAGCATGGAAATTCATATGCATAATTGCATGTTGAGGTGAACCTTTTCCTATGCATGATTGCATAAGTTTAGGTGGGTCTTTTCCCATGAGTGTTGCTTGGTGAGGTGGCATGCTTTCATGTTGAGAGAAATAAGTTAATAAGGGCTAGCTATTTAGACGTAGAAGATTTTGTACCGAGTGATGAATCTAGGGGTGGGGTCATGGGGCCATGGCCCCCTACAAACAATTTACAAATTTTCTTTTACTAGTGCAATGTTTGTCCATCATACTAATTTTGGTGTAGTGAGTAATATTATTTCCTAGCCATTGGAATGTTGTCCATGGTTGCCCCCCGCATTGTGAAATCCTTTGTCCGCCATTGTTTGTGCCGCTGCTGCTAATCTAGCTAGTTGTTGGGGTTTCACTTGTGAAAAATGTAAGCATTCTAATGTACTGATGTATTGACCAGAGAGAAAATATTTGGATTTGATTGCTAGCGATTTTTGTGATGAGTTGTTTGCTATTTCCACTAGTAGAACGCCCGTGCGTTGCCATGGGCTAACAAATGGGTCTATCACGACCCCTTCTAGCTGGCTACTATGGGACAATTTCATGGATTGCATGCATCATTCCTCTAGCAGGCTAGTATGACACAACTTCATGACGAAGCATCCAGTCTCTGCTCTCTGCACTCCCCTATTTCTCTCACATGCTCATCCTCCTTGGATTTCCCATTGACATAAAAACTTTCCCCAAGAGGAGATCCCTCCAACGCAAAAGAATTCATAGAAAACCGAATCAATATCAGATGTGCATATTTTGCTATCTCAACCACTTACAACCCCTCAACTGATTCTCCGTATTTCTCTTGCGGCCTTAGTCATCAAACTTTGTCGTGGTTCAACAACAATACATGCTTGTTTCTTTTATATGCACCCAAAACAGTTAAAAACTCCCCTGATGAAATTTTTAGTATTTACCATAACACGGTTAATCATAATAGAAGAACTACGGTTAGCTTCCCACCAAAATAAGGAACAAAATGTAGTGCCTCGCTCGATAAAAAAT